GCTTTTAGTCCTATGGTTTAGTTTTAGGTAGTCCTGAGAGGAGCAAGGAGTTGGACTCGATGATCCTTATGGGTGCCTTCCAACTCGAGATATTTTATGATTCTATGATTCATATGCTGTGCATTTAACACAGATTTTCATTTAGTTTTCTGGAAAAATATTATGACATGTATTAGAGAAATGCTGGTCATGATTCCTTCTGCCATTGGCTAATGAGACATCTGGGTTTTGTAACAAGTACTGTCAAACATTACGTGCCAGGGCTTTGGGCAGTTGCCTGCAGGGGACTAGAACATTCTTCCCCAGCTCACACTTTTTTGAAGCAGCACTTCTCAACGTGCGAGGAGCTCAGGATTCAACTGAAGCACGAATGAACAGGGAGACAGGCAGAAGTGCCAACTGGTTGCATGTGAAATGCAGTCTAAATTGTTCTAAAAGAAAAGTTACTTTTTTTGATTGCTCTGAAGCACACAGAATGGTCTCCAGAGGGGAAAAACAAGTGGTACTTTTGTTAGATGCCTGTCTTGTTTGAAATGCTGATCGCTGCAAGTGGAGTCAAGAAGGAATTTTCTTTTGCATCAGACTGACAGGAATCTTAGGATTTTTTTTTTTTTCTTGTTTTCTGTGTTAAATTCCATATGGTTTACTTTCTAGAATTTTCTGACATGACATTACATATTTTCTTACTGTTATAGCATAATGCTGGCTTATTTTTAATGTAAATCATGCCACGTAAATCACGGCCCCACAAACAGCTGTATGGAAATGAGAAGGAAATACCCAGGTATAAATGAGTAGCTGGAATGAAGGTGACAGAAGTGCATCCTCAATCTTTCCATCTTTGTCTGGGCACACAGTTTAGCCTCCTTTGGCCTAAAGTAGCTTTAGTTTAGTGTCTTTAAAAGTGTCTGGATGAAATATAATGACGTGCAATATACAGGGAATAGATTAAATGATCTAATTGTTCTTTCCAGATATAAACCTGATGGGACTCTACAGAGGTGTTAGTTAATCTGGACCTTACCTTCTCCCTTAGACTATAAGTTTCTTTGTTGGGAAGGACGGTGTAAGGAGTTTCCTCCTCACTCTCTTTTGTCCATTACTGCCCTCTTTGCTACAACCATACAATTTTTTTTGTTGGCCTATACCGGTTTGTGAGTTGTAAGGGGGCGGGAGGCATTAAAAGAGTAGGAGGATGTTCTCAGTCCGGGCAATGTGGAGGTGAGGCATGAGTAATTGTCCTTGAGAAAGAATGGTGGTTCATATACTGCTCCTAGCCCAAGAAGTCGTAGCTGTTAGTTGCTCTGTGTTGCCAAGAAGTCTCCCAAAGAAAACTTATTGAAGAGAGAGGCAAGATGTGTGATCGCAGTTAATCTTTTCCATGCTTACCCAGAGCCCTAAGATGTACTGGATTGGAGGGGATGCAGAGTGAGTTGGGAAAGGAAGAGGGAAATCTTGGGGGAAGGGGGAATGAATTCCAGTTTTAGAACTGCTGCCCAGAGGGTGGATGTACAAGGCCATGTGTGTCTGTGACTGTGGGGCTGATTACAGAATTCCCTTTTCTGCCTCAGAATTGTGCTTCAGAAGCTCAGGTTTAATTTACGAAAGTTTCTAATTCTTGCATTTGCAGAGCAGCTTTCCTCAATATATCAACGAAGCATAAATGGATGCATTTCCGTATAGATTTAAATGGTATGTATAAGAAATGTGGATGTAAGAAATTGTGTAATCTGCCTTTCTGGATCTTGTGCACTCGG